CAAGTTGTTTCTGGTAACTTGCCATCACGCGGAGCATTTCTTCCGAATCGGCAAACCTGGCATCCAACGCAACACGTTCGTAACGGAAAGGATTATCCGCGTCGTCGTAAATTCCCACGACTCCGACGTACATCCCTTTGGTACCCACTTGAATCATCTGATTGTTCGAGCCTTCGATTATCTCAGGCTTTAGCGTTGGCTCCCCTGCTCCGCCGGCAGTGACAACAATTTGAAAGCCAGGAAATGCTTTGCCAAATTCTCGGCTCTCGTCCAGCGATGCATGGGCCAAAAGAACATACAGATCACAATCTTCTGCTTTCAGGGCATTCCAACTGGCTGCCAGCTCTTGCATCGGGTCGCCCATCTCTACTTCTGCGTTCGAGATGCGTTGTTGTTCTTTCGCTCCGAGAACCCCAGTAATCCCAATCTTCTTGCCACCAGCTTCGACAATGCGATGCTTCGGAGTAAAGCCAAGTAGGCTTGCGTTGCTGGAAATGTATTTGATGTTGTCAGGATCTTCGGAGGCAACGGCTGCGAAGACTTCGTCGACCGAAAGTCGCAGATCATCAGGGCCAAAACTGATTGCCTGATAATCCATCTTTTTCAGGCCTTCTGCGGTCGTTTGGAATTTGATTTCTGCTTGGCGGCCAAAGCGACGTACCTGATTGCCGACGTCGAGTGCGACAACATCCCAGCCACGGTCGTTCTTCAGCTGATCGAGAAAAGTCTGCCGACGCATCAGGCCACCCTTTTGATTGGTCAGCCCCGTACAGCCACATGGTTCGATGTAGCCATGCTGTTGACCGGTCAAAAAGAGAGCGGCAACGGGCTTTTCCCAGCCTTCGAAGAGTTCCCGGCGTGGCAGTTTGGGTTTTGCTGATTCCTGCTCGGCACCTGAATCGGAAGTCGTCGGAGGGGGCTGCAGTTCCGCAGGGGAAGAAACCGGACGCAACTCCGACTGAGGCGAAGTGACGTTCCCTTGAACAGGGCCTTCCGCTCCGGCCTGGGTAACAACTGTTTGATCACGAACGAACGCACCATCGCTGGAAGAGTGTTCCACCGATTGAGGAATTGGCATGGGGTCGCTCTGCTGAGCAGTCTCAGGCGTTTGCTGGCTGGAATTGCAGC